GTGTCAGTGTTTCAAATCAAAACTCATGCCTTAGAACTGAGTCAATACATTTTATATTTTTATATCTATATATATATATATATAATATACATAAGTACAGTCCATTTAATCTCCGGACTTTAAAAACTTTATGCAGAAAACATTTAATAGAAAGTAGATTTAAGACTTTAAAGTTTATTGACTCAGTTCTAAGGCATGAGTTTTGATTTGAAACACTGACACCTTCTGGTGAAAAACTGAAATTACAACCACCTACATGCAGGTTTAGGGTGGATTGGCCAAACCCGGAGCCAGACATGTACAGAACAGACAATGATGACATCATCAACTGCATTAAAGAAACGGTACCTTGTCCATCATGTGAGAGCGGTTCATGTTGTTCGTGCTGAAGTCTTGGTTCACATCCATGGTCAGCACAGGCACGTCACGCAGGTACTCAAACTCCATACTGGGAGACATCACATGGAACCAGTGACAACAGGTTACATTTCATACACACTCATTTATTACATCCATGTGCACGTACTTAAGGAACACACGGAATGAGTTTGATTTTTGCAAATTGTGCAAACCTTCTGGAACTGTACTGGAAACTGGAACCAGTGTGAGCACACAGTGAGGAGCCACTGGGGTTCCCAGCATAAAGATCATTCCGGAACGACTGACCCTGACGTGTGGCGTGGAACTATTCAGATTCCATCCAGGCAGCTTGCTCAAGCGCTGTGGTGAGGCGGCCCAGTTCAGGAACCGGTTGCCTCACTCTGATGAACAGCGTGGTTGTTGGTACAACTACAAGCTGGCATGGTGCCACATGGGTGGCTCTGAGTAAATGTTTATTTTTCTTATAATAAGCACTTGTTGAGCATCAGTCACCACTGCATGACAACCAGTCCATTGTTCAAGTGGCAACGTCCCATGTTTGGCTGGTTAACCTAAAGTTAACCAACTGGGAGCCTCAGTGTCTGCGGTGGATAGGTCAAGATGAAAAGTTTGGAATGATACAGCCTCACCCTGCTTCATCTGACACACACACACACACACACACACACA